ACGCACAATTTCTCTTCTTCATACTCCTTACGTGCACTAGTAATCTTCGTAGGATTGATCATCTAGCTTACTCCTCTCTCAACGAACACCTTGTAGTTGTTTTCCTTCAATACATCAGGTTCTGTTTCATACTCTTCTATCTATTCACTTTCCAACGAATTTTCGTTTTTTTAGCATTCTGCTGTCGCCACAATCCCTGTTTCTGGTGAATCTAAGCCACCATCTAACCAGGCTAGCATTGCCCTGGTTTCGGAATCTCAATCAAAGACCACTTCTTCTGCTACCACCGGTGATAAGAAAGGAGAAGACGGACTGCCTGTCTCTGCAACTACGACAGTAGCTCCATCAAGCACATCAGCAATCGTCTGCAAAGTACTCCCTCAAAAGCAGCCTGAATGTTCTGCAGCAGCTGCTACCAGCTCTGTTGTGACCGTTGCTCCCTCGACACGACCTGAATCTAGTACTACTTTCTCCAACAGCAACACTTCGAGTAACAACCCGGTGTCAACACAACTAACCTCCAATCAATCTTTATCATTTAGAAGAGCGCCTCTCGGTGATGTAGGAGATTGGTTATGTGTTGGGAAAGCTGATGCCCCCGCACCTCTTTTCTTAAACTCCTGCAATCCTGGGAAGAAGATGGATAACACCATGGCACAGGAGATGAGTTCAGTCTTCATGCAGCATCAACAACAATCCTTTAGACAACAACAACAGGCCGTGGCGCCCCCTCAATTAATGAATTTTGGTCTACATGAACTGACTCTGCGCAACCATCAAGGATCCCTTCGTGACAACTACTTTACTGCCTTTTCAGGAGGAGGCAACAATGGATCTCAACAGCGAAATATCTATACAACCCAACAGAAAGGTGGGGCTACTGGTTGGCAAACGGCATCCTGGCAACCGCCACCACAACCTGCCCAGGCGGCTCATTTTGAACCTAATGGACTTTGGCCGAACAATTATAATACCCCTCCACCTCAACCTCAAACGGCCTCTTACGTTGGAGTAATTGGCGCGGATAGACCCTCGACAAATAATTCTGTGGCGACACAGCAGCATCAATCGCGTCTACAGCAACAGCAGCAGCACTCAGCTGTTGCAGCCGCAGCTGCACAAGCTGCAGCTTTTGCCGCGGCATCGATTTATGGAAGAGGAGGTGGAGTTGGTGCCAATGGTGCTGGTCAGCAACCATATCCTCAGCCACATCCGCAGCCAGGTGGGCTTTATGCACAGTCACAGAGTCAACAGCAAACTCCACCCCCACATCTCTCTTTTGATCCCAACGTAAGCACTGCTGTTTCTGTCTCTAATCAGTTCATTATTTATTTTTATCAAATGGCAGGCGTTTTGATAGTTATCATTAGCCCTGGACCTGACTTCGGGGCTTCACAGAGAGTAGAGGGAACATCAAAGTGACAAAAAGTCGAGAGGGGGAACAGAGGAGTGATACACAGGTGTAAAAGAGACAGACAGACACAAAGGCATAAAAAAGGTAAAATGAGTACTGTGAAGGGGTCGAATATGAAAAATATTCGGGCCATAGTAGTTTGAAGTCAGAAGTCAACTGGTGATCAATAGACTTTTTTGCCGTATAAGTATACGTTGCCCATAGTGCATGAGGTGGTGGTAGTTTGAAGTGAGAAGTCAACTGCCTTAGTCGAATATGACATACAGTGGGGTCAGAAGTCACTGCCATACAATGGGGTGATGGTAGTTTGAAGTCAGAAGTCAATAGCCATATTAATAGACTTTTTGCCGTATGAGTATACGTTGCCCAGGGCGTAGGTAATAGACTTTTTTGCCATATGAGTATACGTTGCCCAGGGCGCACAAATAGATTTTGCCGTATGAGTATACGTTACCCAGGGATAGACTTTTTTGCCGTATAAGTATACGTTGCCCAGGGTGGAGGTAAGTCTATTGTGCACCCCGATCAGTTCATTATCAGATTTGGAATTTTCGAATCCAAGATAAATTTGCTCGCCTGTTTAGTTGCGGTTTGCATAGCTTATGGACAAAGGAGCTGAACTTTGAGTTTTCTTATTTTGCTCACTGCGTTTTTGGAGAAACGTGACGCATGAAGATCGTTCGAGAAGTTTACTTATTTGGCGTAGAGTAATAATGGAGAGCACATATGTATAAAATACGCAAGTGTTTAATGCATAGTGGGAAATGAATATTTTACCTTCTGATTAGAAGAATACCGACATTTTTTTCTTAAATTTGCATTGTTATTTGTTCTTAACACAGATTGTAATGCAGCCATGCAGAATACCGTTTAGAATCTAAAAAGAGTTTTTTCGAGACCTATTTGGTGTTTAAATTGTCCACTGACATTTGCTCTTGCTGTCCAGAAAATAATCGCTAAATTCAAAGTTACAGCTTTAGTAGCTAACTCCAAACGTAACCGTGTATAAATCTTTTTTCACTGAACAATATTCAATATGCTCACGATGCTCTGTTATGAATTTCATAGAAAAATCAATCAGTTGTCTATCCTCTCAACTTATCATTAACCGAACGTCTTGCTAGAGCAGTTTCATATGCAAACTATTGATGATGTAAACATCGCAACCATTGGACTTCGTAAGACGCAAGCATTGCGAATGATCACTCACTCTTATCGCTGATCGTTATCTGGGGCAAAATTTTATTTTATCACAGTAGAAGCATGTTTCCACCTTAGGG